GAGCATTAATGTTCTCATGTCCTCTAGAGATCTTACCCCTGTCGACAAGCACCACCGATCAAATAGTCCCTCTTTCTCACGAGGGAACTCCACATAAGCCTGAGAATCCCTTTTTCTGAAACTGCGACACCTCTGACGATACGCCTCTGGCACGAGCTCATAAGCGCGCAGAATTGCTGCTTTCACCTGCCCATAATCCCGGCTGACCTCGTCAGACAATGCAGCGTATACATCCTGAGCCTTCCCCGTTAGAACGCACTGCAGCATCACAGTCCACACATCCCTAGGCCACTTCAAGGTTGTTGCAACCCGTTCGAAAAGAATAAAAAATATATCCACGTCCCTCTCATTGAACATTGGAATGAATCGGGTGTTTTTACCCACATCAAACTCATGAGAATGTGCGGATCCCAACTGCTGAGTTTGGTGCGACACTGCCGATACCTCCAGCTCCTTCAAACGAAGCATTCGATTTGACTCCTCCTCTATTTTCCTGATTTCGATATTACAGTCGATCTCCTTCTCTCTTCTAGCTTGTTATCAATCTCCTTCTCTCTAATCATTAATTTACGTATCTCCAGCTGAAGCTGAAGCTCGCTCATTGTCGGAGCTACCTCGGTTTCCTCATCTTTAGATAAATATTCCTATTCCAATCCTAAAAAACTATTTTCCATCTTCTCCACCCTCTTGGACCCTCCAAAAGCTCCTCCCCCCTCCTCATTTCTGTCAAGCGACTTTACCCACTTTGAAAAAAAGGTTGATGATATTCGCTCTTCTTTTTCTGACTCACCTTTACTCACCGCTGGGTCACCAGACCCTCCTTCCACCAACACACTAACCTCCTTTTCCCCTCTCTCTCCAAGTGAGGTTCTTACCCTCATTACCTCTGCCCGCCCTACCACCTGTCCTCTGGACCCTATCCCTTCAAACCTCCTTCAGACTATCGCTCCTGATATTCTACCGTTTCTCACCCATTTCATCAACACTTCTCTAACTTCTGGTCACTTTCCAAACAGTCTCAAGGAGGCAAGAGTAAACCCTCTCCTAAAGAAACCCACTCTCAACCCGTCAGATGTTATAAACTACAGGCCTGTCTCTCTCCTCCCGTTCCTGTCTAAATCACTTGAACGCGCTGTCTTTAAACAACTCTCCTGTTATCTCAATCAGAACAACCTTCTGGATCCGCACCAGTCAGGTTTCAAGGCAGGTCACTCCACAGAAACTGCTCTCATTGCTGTCACGGAGGAACTGCACACTGCCAAAACTGCATCCCTCTCCTCTGTCATCATCCTGTTGGACCTGTCTGCTGCATTCGACACGGTGAATCATCAGATCCTCCTTCGCACTCTCCAAAAACTTGGAGTTTCAGGCTCTGCACTTTCCCTCCTCACCTCATACCTGAAAGACCGTACCTACAGAGTGACTTGGAGAGGGTCTGAGTCCGACCCTTGTCAATTAACTACGGGGGTCCCTCAGGGCTCTGTTCTTGGTCTCCTCCTCTTCTCCCTGTACACAAACTCGCTCGGATCAGTCATTAGCCCGCATGGTTTTTCTTACCACTGCTACGCTGACGACACCCAATTAATTCTGTCCTTTCCCCGCTCAGAGACCCAGGTCGTCGCACGCATCTCTGCTTGTCTAGCTGACATCTCTCAGTGGATGTCTGATCCTCACCTCAAGCTCAACCTTGACAAGACTGAGCTGCTTTTCCTTCCGGGAAAAGATTGTCCCACTCTTGACCTAACAATCAACATCGGCACCTCTATTGTTTCCTCGACTCAGACTGCAAGGAATCTGGGTGTGACCCTAGATAACAACCTGTCCTTCACTGCAAACATCGCTGCTACAACCCGTTGCTGCAGATACACGCTTTACAACATCAGGAAGATACGTCCCCAGCTGACCCAGAAAGCCACGCAGGTTCTGGTCCAGGCTCTCGTCATCTCACGCCTAGACTACTGCAACTCCCTCCTGGCTGGTCTACCTGCATGTGCCATCCGACCTCTGCAGCTCATCCAGAATGCAGCGGCTCGTCTGGTCTTCAACCTTCCTAAATGTTCCCACACTACTCCGCTCCTACGCTCGCTTCACTGGCTTCCAGTAACTGCTAGAATCCACTTCAAGACACTGGTACTTGCTTACCATGCTGCGAATGGATCTGGCCCTTCGTACATCCAGGACATGGTTAAACCGTACACCCCAGCGCGTGCACTACGCTCTGCATCAGCCAAACGACTCGCTGCCCCCTCGCTGCGCCCTCGCTGCGAGGGGGACCCAAGTTCCCAACGGCGAAAACACGTGGGTTTGCTATCCTGGCTCCAGGATAGTGGAATGAGCTCCCCATTGACATCAGGACAGCAGATAGCTTGCACATCTTCTGGCGCAAACTGAAAACTCATCTCTTTCGACTCCACTTCGAGCGATAGAACTATTAACAAAGCACTTATATACTAATAAAGGACTGGCTTACCTAAAGCCAGTTGAGTAGCACTTGAAATGTTTTTGCTCTATGAAACCTGATGTACTTATATGATTCTGTTTTCTTCAAGTTGTATTTTGTTGGTCGAACGCACTTATTGTAAGTCGCTTTGGATAAAAGCGTCAGCTAAATGCAATGTAATGTAAAAATAGGTAGCGCCCGTTTCCTCCGGTAACACTTCCTTCTCAAGTGCCGCCAACAGCTGTTCCTTGATGACCTGCTTCTTGTGCCGTTTGCTAATTGCAACGTTAAATCTGCCTGCAATTAGCTCCAGCTGGGCTTTACTACAGGCGTCCGACTTCTCCCGAGTCGGACCACTAGCAAACCCCTCTAGCTCAAACTCCATGGTGCAAAAATCCAACCTAAACTCACTCCAAAGAGAAAAAAAAAAAGCAAACAAAACTGAAACCAGCCAGGCTATCACTCTAGCCACCCTACACTGCACACACAAAGCAAAATATATATGCTGTCAAGGGCCGTTCTAGAAAGAACACCGGCACCTGCCCGAGACAGCCTTTGGACGAGCCCCCATATGTTACGTCCCGTCCCTCTACCAAGCGGTAGTGGCTCGTGGGAAGACCTGCAACATAAAAACAACCACGCCAAACACAGAATTGAGTTATCGACGGGCATTTATTTTCAGCACAGCCGTAACTCACATGCATGCCTCCCGGCAATAAGGAACCAGGTCTGGAGGATCGTAAAACAAACCAAAAAAGAAGAAGGGGGCCTGGGCCAGTAGGACCCAGACTTCCCTCCTCTACCCAAAGGTCCAAACACAGCCTACTGGGAAGGAAGGAAGTTTGAATGAATGAAGGAAACAAAGCCGCGAAAAACCTATACTAATATCCTCCAGAGTTCACACTAAATAAATACAGCAAAATATATATAAATCCACACGAGGTGAGAGGAAATCCACGGTCGTATTCCCTTGGTTTCAGGACGGGAAAAGAGACCCCTTCTCCTCCAGCTTTTTCTCTTTAAGTCATCCCCAGCTGAATGTCATCAGGACACCTGGGGAAGGCGGAGCCAGGAGCGGACCAGGTGTACCTGCGCAGCAGAGACAGAGAAAACACATAGAGCACGTAACACCCACAAACACACACAATATATAATAACATTTTGAGATTTGGGGATATTTATCTCCCATTCTTTCACTTTTTCTGACATGTTCAACACCAAACATGTCGTTAATGTCTCTGTTTAGTGAACTCCAGCAATCTGAAAGCCTGTACATTATTTATATCACACTTTATCAGTAGAAAAATGCAGGAAATGACTTTTTTAATGCAGTATTTTCTGATTTGTGGCGCAACACAAAGATATTTCGCTCTGTGCAAACCTTTGACTCTAATATGTCAACAACATGAAACAAGAATATGAACCTGGCTTTATCCAATGTTCACACAGGAGTTCTACATCCTAACACATCCTTCATCTACACTGTCTCAACTGAAAGAGGACCAGAAGCTCATTACAAATATAATAAAATGTGGAGACTTTGGGAGATTTATCTCCCATTCTTTTACTTTTCGGGCATTTTACAGACCAGACATGTCGTTGATGTCACTGTTTACCAAACTACCACTTTTTCTGAAAATGATGCAATATATGTTAAATACATGGTTTATACATGTAATTACTGGGGTTCCATTTCTTCTGATTACCTCGTTTGGGCGTGCACATTTGCCACGTGCAAACCTACCTCTTTTGGATTTGGAAAGGTTGGCATGTATGCTTAGTCATCACGTAGTTAGCCTAGCTTAGCACAAGTACTGCAAACCGAAGGAAACAGCTAGCTTTCCAGAAATAAGTTCAGAAATACACGAGCAGCTCCTCTAAAGATCACTGATTTACATGTTTCTTCTTTGTTTGACCTGGATACAGAGAAAAGTAAAACATATTTCTGATCGTAGAGGAAAGTATACTGACCTTTTTCCTTTGAAAACGCTCATTTTCTGAAGCCACTGTGTTACACAAACATACTTCATTATTATACTTCATACATTTAATATATTTGACATTTCTGAAAATATGTTCACCTTTCATAGAGTGCAGTCAGGACATACAGTTGTTAGCCTGGCTCTGTCTAAAGTTAAAAAGCACACTAGCAGCTCCTCTTAAGTTCCCTAGTGGATCTTCTTTGTATAACTTGGACACAAACAGAAATGTAAAAAGTACTTTAGTGGAGCATTGTGAAATTGTTTCATAAGAAAGGAAATTGGTTAATGGATGACTGCCTATCCACCTGTACAAATGTATGTAATGCTTTATTTTAGCAAGCTAGGACATTCAACTTGACTTTCATTTGATCTCTTTATTTACTACAAGTACCATGATTGTTATTTACCGTTTGTCTATGTTTTGCATACTTTTTCCAATGCTGTTCCATAATCAAATTCCAGTGACTGTGGTTCTGTGTTCAATGTATAATTGGTGTCTGCTCCTGATGGGATGTCATGAATTAAGAAATGTTTGAAATGATATTAAGCTCCACCCTGTGTGTGTTTGTGTGTTTCAGAGTGAGGCCGGAGATGTGTGTTACTGCTGCTCCCTCTCCCCCAGCTCCAATTGTCCTGAGGAGAAGCTTCTGGAGCTCCACCCGGCCCACTCCTGCAGCACCATGAGGATCCTGCTCAAGGTAGCCTGTGAGCTAATGAGTGAACACATCCTGAGTAGGAACATATATTTAATACATTTACACTTACAGTATATGCACAGAGGTTGTGCTGTCGTAGTGCTTCTGCAGCCGGTTACACTGCCAGCTAAATATTCTTACAGTGTTTTCTCATTTATCTGGCCAGACGTTTTTTTGATAATGACCGAACCCCACCTGCCTTTTGTAAGATAAGATAAGATGGACCTTTGCTGTTCCCCGTAGGGAAATTCAGGTGTCATAGCAGCAACAGAATAAGAAAGAAACACAGATAGTACACAGATGGGAATATACACAGGGATAATAAGAATAACAATTCAATAATAAAAATAAAGAATAAACATATACTAACAGTAAGAAAAAAGGACAAAAAATAAATAAGAGTTAAACTCTGATCCGGCAAATGTAAATGTATACACATACAGTATGTGAGCGAGTTAAACATATACATTGAAATGTGCAGGTACCATTATGGGTGAAAGTGGTATGTGAATACTTAGCAAATATTAATAATATTCAGTGCAGGTTATTTGTGATGGGTTACTTGGTTAGTCCTTGATTGTGGAGCCTGATGGCTACAGGCACAACAGATTGTCTTTGTTTGTTGGTGTTACCCCCCCTGCACACCACAGCAAAGAATAGCACACTGGCTACCACAAACTGGTAGAACATCTGCAGCAGCTTTGTGCAAACATTGAAGGACCCGAGCCTCCTCAGGAAGAACAACTTGGTTGTTTCTTCCTGAAGAGAGCATCCCTGTTGTCCGCCCAGTCCAGTTTATTGTTCAAGTGCACTCCTATAGTTGGTTTAAAAGATTGTGCAGCCTGCTGGAAATGTTGATAACACTCCGGTACCTGTGCTATGGACATGCCCCAAAATCCAAATTCAATTCAATTGTGGATGGAGACTCACTGTTACTTTGCTGATGTAATGTTTTGTATCAGACGGAGACTATAAGGTGTTATCTGCTTTTTTGCAATTTAATTTAATTTAATTCATTTGTTCATGCTGTAAGTTTTAAAAAGTCATAGCACACAATAGAGATGTATGAAATGGGACACCCTGATCAACTATCCAAAGCTTTAAAGTAGGGGCCCAGACACTAAACAGAGTAATTACATTATATACTACTTACACATCTAAAATTGGAGAGAGTTCATGTATTATACAGAAACATTTACAGGATAAAAATCACCATCCAAGATGTTAGTTCATCCTGAGATCTGACATCAGCTCGTTAATGAGCATATAGTGATGTACAGCACTCTCCTCAGATGTTAGGCTATGTGAAGGTTAACAAAAATACACACATTTCTGTAGGTTACTTATTTTGACTAAAATGAGCTGATGAAAGTAAGGTCCAAGGGAAGTCGAAATAGGGAAACCCCTGGTAAAAAAAACGCTCCTACCTTTCCTGAGATCGATTTGAAAGAGAAGATTAAAGGGGATGACATGAGTGAAGGACCATTGGCGGGATCTGAACCGGCATCTAGTGAAGTAAATCACCAGCGCTACAGAGTGAGATATGATGCTGCTCATCAGTCATCGTTTTGTACTACACTCTTCTTCTCAGGTTTCTTTTTTTTCTGTGTCTAATCTGATGGTGTGTTTTTCTCTCTCAGAAAGTCTTGTTTGCACTGTGTGCTCTGAACGCTCTGACCACTGCTGTGTGCCTGATGGCCTCTGCGCTGAGATACCTGCAGATCTTCACGGCGAGGACACCCTGCATGGTACGATCTCACTACAGGCAGCAGCAAGGCTCATGTTGGCCTTCACCTACTGGGCTGGCACCGTAGTTTACTCTTTGGAAACATCCAAATGTGTTTACTTCCTGTCTGTCTTCTTCTGCTGTTCCCTTTATTGTTTACTTCCTGTCTGTCTTCTTCTGTTGATCTATCTGACATCAAATGCTCTGTCTTTTAACCTCCTTATTTGCAGTGGTGTGTTATAGAGTATTAACAACCTCTGAATCAGAATCGAGTATTCAACTAAGCCGTGTAATAACACCAGTTATACTGTAAGATCGTTGTTGCATAAATGCAATTCCCAGAAGTAAAAAATAAAACGATTTAAAAATGAACTATATCATAGACTTCAGGTACCCCCGCCTATATTCGGGTTGATGATGTTAGTAAACCTTCTCCAGTGGAGTATTTACTGATGCATTTCATCTTGCAACTTTAAAATATTCAGTCTTCTAACCAAAAAAAACAAAAAAGAAAGATTGACTTTGAGAAAAGCAAACAGGACTTGCTAAAATGCTAACTCATTTTCGAGTTGTAGGACTCATTCCTGCACCACTCTATAACCTTTAACATGGTGTATGATGTCACTGCTCTGTGATAGGACGAGCAAAGGGCCACAGCTGAAGAGAGGGAGGAGCCTGCTCAGGTCCCTGACCCAGATGAGTTTGTGGCCCCAGCCCCTCCCCCCTCCTACTTCTCCACTTTCTACTCGTACACACCACGCTTGGCCCGCAGGTAACTACCCCCCCCACACACATACATCTTTATTACTCTAGTTTTAGTGTCTATGTGTCACATGATAACTAGTTTGTTGTGTGTTTGTTTCAGGATCCTCGGGGACAGTGTGATCCCTCTCCCTCACATCTACGGTGCTCGAATCAAAGGGGTGGAGGTCTTCTGTCCGTTGGACCCCCCACCTCCATATGAGGTTGTTGCTGGAAGCTCTGCCAATGCAGTCATACAGGTACACTCCAAATGAACCTCCTTTACTCTAAAGGCCAACGAAGACTGGATGTTTGACATGATAACTTATTGGCTCAAATATTTGTTTCGCATACATCCATACTGAAATATCTGCAATAAGAGGATATCAGCCAGGCTGGTATATCGGTCCAGCTCTAAACAAAATAACTTTTTTAGATACAAAAATCCATGACAGTCAATCTTGAATTTTTGTCAAAGCTACAAACTCTGCAACATCTGAGATTTGTATCTTCTCAACATAACTTTTGGTTATTGTCTTCAAACATTGAAGGTGACACAGGTGTGGTAAAAAAATTACCTGTGATGTACACACTAAGATACAATATTAGAAATACATGAATAAAATGTATTTTTTTCCTCCATGTGCCAACTATGAGATCTCATTACAGAACAATAATCCATCCAATACATCATAACAACTATATAATAATATAACAAACCTTTCCTTCATCCCACCAGCATCCCAGGTCTTTCTCAATTTATAAACTGAGTTACTGCAAGAACCGACCATTCTTCCATCAGTGAAGAATAAAGGTACATTTGTCACTAGTGGTCATAACTATAGCAGTGTGTGGATGTGTGTTTCTCCCAGGAGACAGAGATTGCACTGACAGAGCTGACTATATACACGACGGCCTTTCCCTCAGAAGCCAGTGATCCAGGTAGGACATACTTACACACCAGGCCGAGTGTCGATTGGCTGATAACGGCTCTCAATCTTTGTACTGCCCTTTGATAGGATGATCAGGGGGAACAAAAACGCTGTGACAGTGGTTCTCCAGTGTCATGTACAGTAACTCCTGCTGTATCCTACTATCAAGCTGTTTTCTTGTGCCAGGCTAACTCAATTAAAGCTCTCCTATTATGCAAAATGCACTTTTTGATGTCTTTTACACATAAATATGTGTCCCCGGTGTGTAAGGGAACTCACAAACTGTCAGAAAACAAAACCCTCTCTCTTTTCCTCCATACCCAAATCTCTAAAAAACGGGGATACAACGGAGCTGATCCAGATTAGCTGCGTCATGACGACATTACTAAAATGTGGGCTGGCTTTACACCCAGGGCCGGACTGGGACAATAAGTCAGGCCGGGAATTATACACCCAGCCAGGCCACTACCAGTTTTCTTTTGTGCCATCTTTCTGGATTTATTTGTCAATTTGTAGGCTACAGCGTTGCTGCCCATAGTGAGAGCCCTAAACTTTAAATCTACTGCCCCAGAATAAACATATGGACATGGGTTACTATTTAAAAAAAATTTGCAAATCTATTTAGGAACCTGTCCATGTGAACATATTTTAAGTGGAGGTGGACCTCAAATCCTCTAACAGGGTCCGGGGGCATGCTCCCCCGGTAAGATTTTTTTTTTAAATGTTGAACTTAAATGCATCAATCTGGTGCACTTTGAGGGGGAAATAAAGAGACTACACCCATATGAAACATAACCGTATACATTTAAATAATCATAAAATCATAAGAACATGGCCATAACCAATAACATACCATATCCAATATGAAAAAACATTGAAAGTTGTTTATTTATTTGTTTTTGGTTCATTTATAGTTGTGAGTGTGTCTGTGCTCCTGAACCAGCCTCACCTGTCTCCCTCCTCTCCCCCTGCTCCTCTTTGAGGCAGCAGCAAATACTAGTTTTAGCTCTCAACAAGTTTTAAAGTTTATCTTACCTTTTTTCACCTAGTCAACATTTTGTTTTTATTATTCATCCATATTTTACTAATCACTCCCCCTTCAAATGGAAATATGTGTTTACATAAATGGTGACCAAACCGTTTGAGACCCACAGAGAACTTAGACTAAGTTAACTATCTAAACACTCAGAGAGTCCTTTACTTCACCTGAGTTGTAGTTATCAGTCTCTCAGTCTGACAGGAGAGGACTCTCCTCCACCTTGTTGCCAGCTCATTATATCCGTTAGCGCAGCTAGCTAGCACCAGATGCTAACAACAACAATACACGTAACCGGTGCGCGCGCTTTCTCTCTCGCTCGCTCGCGCCACACATACACACCCTCTCGAGCTTGAATGACACACAGAGACCAATCGAGGGCATTAGTATGATCTGTATAAAAGTGGCCATGTCGGCAGGCCACATCATGTAGACAGCCAGTCACCCTCTGTGAGGCAGAATCAGACCCACATTTGCGCAGCGTTGCATTCACAATACATACATAAAAAAACCTGCCGGTCCTCCCGATGGCCAGTCCGGGCCTGTTTACACCCATGGCCCTATCAGAAACTTCGCTATCAGAAACAATGCGCAACGTGTTTTGGACGTAATATGGTCTGTGTTTACATTAGCAAGCATTGCTAACACTCAGAGCTAACCTGTACTGGAGAGAGTATGTATAAAAAAGCAGGAAATAAAAAAAGGAACTCACCTTGTAGTAAACTTGCAAGAAAAGAAGCATTTGAGCTCCATACTGTTTCAGAAATAATAATAGTTTTGAACATGATCTGGCGTTTAATCACGGCAGCGTTTAGTTTAGTTTTTTTTTAAAATGGTATAAAGCTTTACACCCAGAATCAGCGTTTCTCTTACGGTACGTCCACACGGCAGCGTGCGTTGAAGCTTGCCGGTGGGCGTATCTGGCCTGCGACCAACAACCAATCACATTAATCTCCCGCCCTGGACACACAAGCACGTGGTTTGATTGGCTAGCGCTTGTACTGGCATATTATTTGATTGGCTGGCGCTTCCGTCAACACTTGAAAAGTTGAACTTTTCTCAACTTTCGAAGCGAGCAACGGAGGCAAAGCGACGCGACGGAACCACAATGCAGTTAGGCAAAGCGTGACATCACCCCATTAAAAGTGAATGGGAATCGTCTCCGTTGAAGCAACGCACGCTGCCGTGTGGACGGGCCGTAACGGGGCTGAAATAGAGGGGTATGAGGCATGCCTAGAATGGGTGATCTGTTTGGTATTTTGAGCAAAACACTTCATAGACATGTTTTTTATATATTTGTAATTATCTGATGTTTACCTTCAGAGAGATATATCTATAATATATGCCTACAAATAGTATAATAGGAGACCTTTAAAACATATTAAGCTGTTTGGGAGAGAAACGCCCTCTGGAGGGAACCATTTACATGCACAGAAACGTATTGAACACAACACCACATCTTTTGGAATGTGTTTTACTTTTGTTAGTAGGACCATTCACCAAGTCTTTTGTTTCATTGTAAATAAATGTTCTGAAACCAAGTGTGTTGATCTTTTTCTATTTAGTCTCAGACAGAAGTCCCCGAGTGGTATCAGCATCACCAGGCGTCCCTCTGCGTGTCAAGCCTCCGCTCCAGCCTCAGCCTCAGCTCCAGCCTCAGCTCCACCTCCAGCCTCAGCTCCACCTCCAGCCTCAGCTCCACCTCCAGCCCTCAGCTCCAGCCTCAGCTCCACCTCCACCTCCAGCCTCAGCTCCACCTCCAGCCTCAGCTCCAGCCTCAGCTCCAGCCTCAGCTCCACCTCCAGCCTCAGCTCCAGCCTCAGCTCCAGCCTCAGCTCCAGTTCCAGCCTCAGCTCCAGCTCCAGCCTCAGCCTCAGCTCCAGCCTCAGCTCCAGTTCCAGCCTCAGCTCCAGCCTCAGCTCCAGCCTCAGCTCCAGCCTCAGCTCCAGCCTCAGCTCCAGCCTCAGCTCCAGTTCCAGCCTGAGCTCCAGCCTCAGCTCCAGCCTCAGCTCCAGCCTCAGCTCCAGTTCCAGCCTCAGCTCCAGTTCCAGCCTCAGCTCCAGCCTCCTCTTCCTCTTCCTCAGCAGCAGCCTCCCTCCCCAGCATTGAGCCACCGGAGGAAAGAAAGGATGCGCCGCTCCAACAGTGACCCGGTGTTGATAGACATTGCTGCTAAAGGTTGGCTTTTTTTCTCATTTGGAATTACGCATTTTTGGAAGTTGGTATACAAATGTTGAAGGATTAACTTATTTATTAAGGACATCAGTAAGACATTTAATTCAACATCTTTACTGGAGGATTTATAGAAGTCCACCAACATTTATTCAGTATATAATCTAAAAGCTATCCAACCACTTTAACACCAAACGTGCATACAAAAGGTGTGTTACTGTCAGTGTTGGGGTAGTTACTCAAAAAGGTAATCCCTTACTTTACTAAATTACTCACTGTTGAAAGTTATTAGTTACACTACTAGTTACATTACTTTTTGATTACTCTGTAACATCGCCAGAGATGCACCATAAATCAAATGACAAATAACAATATAAAGTTAAACCTTATTTCTGCCAGATCAGCACAAATCCTTAATCTAATAAGGACAGCACTGATCACAGAGCTCTGTTTCTGCTCTTTGTCTGAACATCATGTTTTCTGTAGCTCAGTTATCAGAACTCTGGTCCAGGTAGCTTCAAGTGTTCCTGTCTGATGGCGGCCGCCCCCCCGCGTTACCTGTATCCAGGGCCGTATCCACCATTGAGGTCACCGAGGTCCGGACCTCGGTAATTTTTTCCGAGCTGTGTATAACTACACTTGTGAAATAACGGCACTAAACGGGGTTCTTTGTAGTACTTCCATTTACTGACGATGGGGGCGCTGCAGAGCTACGTAGCCTCGGTTAAAGCAAACAGAAGAAGACGACATGTATCAACAAACCACCGCAGCCCGGGCCCTTTCTCATTTCATCAAATCCCCCTCCTCGAACCCTCGGTCCTCCGGTAGTGACCCGGCGCGCGCCATGTTGAAGGACATCTAATTTCTCTAAATGCACTTCGAGGATCGAGCGTCGAGGAGGCTCTCTGGAGGAGCTATAACCGAGGATACACTGATGGGTCCTCCACGCTCCTCCACGGCTCCTTCGTGGATGCATTTCCGGGAACAGATATGTTTCAAAAGAGGTTTCTCAATACTCAAATTTCCCCTCCTCGACTCCTATCCTCGACTCCCCTCCTCGAGACTTGGTGCCGCCCACAGGAGATGCGAGCGGAGGACTGAGGAGGGGAACCGAGGAGAGAGGAGGGGAAGCAGCAGGCGGTTAGAGAAATGAGAACTCCTCTCCTCTGAGCGGTCATTTTAAAGAGACGTCCATTAATGATGACAGGAGGCACAGCAGCCCTCTGTCTGATGGACAGATGTGTTCATGACGACTTATATATTTACTTTAATTCATTCACAGTGCGGTATAATGAGACAATAACAGGCTACAGATGCGGACATATACACACATATATTATACAATATATACAATTTCAGAATGAAATGTGATCCCCACAGGACTTAAAAAGCACCTAACTAGATCATGAAAATCCCAAAAATCTCGGGGGGGTACACCACATACTGTGTGGACCTCGGTATGTAGGTAATCCTGGATACGGCCCTGCTATCAATATGTTTCTGAAAGATGGCGATTCCACATGGATGAATAATGAAACTGGCAACATGTCCTCCACGATGTTTGCTGAGCCTGACATATCTGCTCCGTTTTCTCAGCCATTACATAATTACTGCTGAACCAACAGTAATGCGTTATATTACTGCGTTCCAGACTAATTACTCCGTGTTACTCCCAACACTTCCCAACACTGGTTACTGTATTTGGTCAAACTGAAATGGCCAAATATTGAATTGCAAGTGCCTACATATTGTTCACCAGAATATTCACTGGGTGTCAAATATCCAGAGTGAACCTTATGGGTCCAATAATGTCTGTTATCACAAGAGTGGCAGTCTTGTTGATTTGAGTCCAGGAATTCCCTTATTATATCCCATAATTTGCTTAAGTTGGGTACCAGTACATGTATACTTGGAGAAGCTGACCTCTCCCCCCCTTATGTCTGCAGTGCTGAGCAGCAGCGACGCCCCCCCCCGCTGCGTTTCCTAACACCACAGACTCCTCCACACAGACCACCCAGCCCACGCTGGCTGTCAGCACCCAGGGCCAGGTCACACTGCGGCGGGGCCACACCGACAGCAGGACGCCCCGGAGACCACGGCCCTCCTCCATGGTGGACTACCAGAGCTACCGACACACACAGCAGCTGGTCAGGAGGATCCTGGAGCAGCCGGCCGCCCAGGGCCTGACCCCCGAGGTGCAGGAGCTGGTGGACAGCATCCGGACCGTCCTGCAGTCCGACCAGGAGCACATGGAGGAGGCGGTACGCTGCGCCAGCTACATAGAACAGGTAGGAGGTGAAGCCGCTTTATCCACCATGCTCCCAAACTGTGGAACACCCTACCTGGAAATATCAGAGAGGCCAACTCAGTGGACATGTTTAAACGACAGCTAAAGAGACATCTTTTTAGATTTGCTTTTTATTAGCGACACCCTACTTTATTGGTCTTTGAATCTTCATTATTTATTTATTTTTATATTGCTTTATTTACTTTTATAGATTTTATAGGTTTTTACTTGTATTTTTATTTTACAATTTTATTAGCGACATTCCCTTTTTACCAGAAATAAACAGTTATTACCAGATAACAGAAACCCTGGTCCTGACTATAACCTGGATGTCCTGAATAAAATGCTCTTTTTAATGTTCACTGTGTTTTCAAACTATTTAAAAAAGGACTTGATTGAAATGTTGGATACTTTAGGAGGATGTAGTTTGTGCTGTTGTAGATCTCTGTATTCTCTGTTTGCCTTCAGGTGTTCACAGACTCAGAGATGGGTCCCGGGCAGCCCAAACCTTCCCAGCAGGCAGCAGGCAGCCACTCCCAGACGTTCCCTCGCCCCCCCAGGAGAAGGGCCGGTCTGCTGCACCTGCAGAGCTGCGGCGACCTCAGCTCCTTCACCTGTGAGGCGATCGAGTCTGCAGAACATCGAGGAAGCAGAAGAGTGGGGTCCAGGGCAGGGTCCAGGGCAGGGTCCCGACTGGAGCACCCTGAGCGCCCCCACAGTCTGATCGGAGTCTGCAGAGAGACGGTTCTCTAAAGGGGAAAACCAAATGTATTCAAATACAAGGCAACACAGCTAGATGCTGCTTAATCTGTTGCTAAACTTTGAGAGAAAACTGTTGTAGTATAACCACTGAGGAGGGTGTGTGTGTGTGTGTGTGTGTGTGTGTGTGTGTGTGTGTGTGTGTGTGTGTGTGTGTGTGTGTGTGTGTGTGTGTGTGTGTGTGTGTGTGTGTGTGTGTGTGTGTGTGTGTGTGTGTGTGTGTGTGTGTGTGTGTGTGTGTGTGTGTGTGTGTGTGTGTGTGTGTGTGTGTGTGTGTGTGTGTGTGTGTGTGTGTGTGTGTGTGTGTGTGTGTGTGTGTGTGTGTGTGTATTTTAATCTTTTTTTAAATTGCTTTGCTCTACTGTACTTTAGCATTCAAAGTTGTGTATGCTTTAAGGTTTTAACATTGTTATAATTTAGCATTTGTTCCTCTCAACTCATACAGCTAAGTTGTTCACCATACAGTATATTATGTTGTTTTCTAATGGTCAGATGCAATGGGCTAAATATTTCAGATATTCTACTGATATTTACTAATATTTCAGAATTTAAACAAAAACATGTACGTTTTGAATTTTTTACATATATTAGATAATAGAACAAAGTGGTGATAACAGCTCAAAGATCTTGCTAATAATAATTATTATTATAAAACTATTTTAATACTTAATTATATACAGTACTGTAATTATAAAAGGCTATAGACCAGGGACCCTCTGGCTATAGACCACGGACCCTCTGTCCCAGTTAACTTGTGCAATTCATTGATTACGTTCCAAAACGTTAAAAACGTTGAAGTGTGGGAACGCATGTAAAGCTTACGATGACAAAGATAAGCGTGTTTACAATGACTGTCCCTGTTATTTATTGGCAAGCAAAGTTAGAACATTGCGGATTGGAAATACAAATGTTGGTTGATTAATTTAGCTCTCATACTACTTCTCACATTCTCCATGTCACTGGAGTGCACTGCTGTGTTAATCTTTGAAGCAGATTCTTGAGTGGGAGGGGTTTCCCATCTTCACTCGTGGTTCAAACTGTGGGGAGAGGAGTTCTGAGGACATTGCCCACCTTTTCTGAATGGTAAATGTGAAGTTTCTGGCACACCACAAGGACAAGCTGTCAAGCTAGGTTCTCAGTGCACAGCGGGTGTGAAGCTGACCGTTGAGCAGCCCAGACCAAGCAAGGAGGCAGAGGCAGAACGTCCAAAAATATAACCCGGTGTGGGCATTTATTAAAACATGAACACATTACACACAGCCTCAATCCTGCTGCTGCTGTTCACGTGATCCCAGCCTGCAGCCACCAGGATCTCACACACACTCCCTGCCTCTCAACAGACAGGGAAACAGAGCCTAAATACACACACACACTAATCAGCAACTAGACACAAGTGAGGGGGGAGGAGACAACACCGGGCACTAGGTGCACACAATCCAGCAATCACGCTAATAAAGTGCAATATTACCCGGCCTGAAGCCGTCAGTCCATAGTGACGAAGTTACCTTCGTCACAGCGGGATTATGATGGAGGTCAGGCCACGTTCAGTATGCTCCTTCAGTTTGAGCTGACCGAGGAACGGCACTTCAGCCAATAAATGAAACCTGCTTTGTCAGTACCCTCAGTACAGTACACCTTCTATAAGCATACAGAGGGCCAGGGTGTTGTGTTATTCCTGTATGTGCCTTTTACTGACTGGACATTTCAGCTGTTGTCATGCATTTTATGAACATGTGCACATAGAGATCATTGTATATTAAACGTTATTAACACTGTCCTGATTCTATAAAGTCCCTAAGAGATCATGTTGCAATTGTTTTTCTTTCTGAATCACTTTGTGTTGCCTCGTATTCAGTTAATCGTGCAATCATTTTTCGTTAGCTTGCAACACAATCCCTCTGATACAGGTTTCAGCAGGGTACTACAACAGGAGCTACATGACTCTGTGCCGAGGAGGACCCTGCTGCTTCTTGCTATGTCTCCGGCTATTGCAGGGATAGGGTTGAAGCCACGACCACAGAAACAGAAGGAGCCTGAATCATGGAACATTTCTGAAGAAGGCCTCGAGCACAGCTTTGTACGAGTGAGGAGGAAGTTCTTCATACATTGTGCCCGGCCTATCTCCGCTGCTGCTGCTGCTCATTCCTTCCCCACTGAAAAGTATTCTTGTACATTACATCTCTGCACCCATATTTCTCAGATGCCATTTTTAAAACAGCCTGGAGTTCTTCCTCATCACCAACTATGTGAGTCATGGTAAATGATGGTGCTGGATGCTGGAAGTATAACTCGGATTCCTCTGTCAATTTAGAACGCTCTGAGAGATAATTATTACAACAATCAACAAATGATTACACATCCGCAGACATTGTGCCACTTTTCTCTTTCAACTTACATGCACAAACAATGGTGAAACAGTTCATGTGAATACTTCTCTTTTGCAGTTGCAATTATGGTCTCTTCATCTTTCTTGCTTGCTTCTCAAGTTATGGTCATAAACAAAAGTATTGATACACATTTTGATCTGATAATGGTGCTTGAGGACTCATATACAGCTACAGTTTTATTGCATTTCAGCCTTAACCAAAGCAGTCGATTGACTGACCTGAGCAAACTTACAGAGATTATTGTATGCTTTGTTGAGGGGTTGGAGGTCAGTTTTGGATGCACTTTGGTAAATAACCAGCATTATCGAAAAGTTTCCTAAAGCTTAAACAGATATTCATTTCTAAAGAACAATTTTGTGACTTTGAAGCAATAGATTTGTTTACATCAATGTACAGCTATAGGATCAGGGGCGGTTATAGGGGGGGCAGGGGGGCCAGTGCCCCCCTAACACTGACCTGTGGCCCCCCTAAAAATGAAAAGTGAAAAAAATGTATGATTTATTACACGATTTATTGAATGACGGAATAGGCGGAACTAACGTTATTCGTCATTCTAGTCGGACCCATTAGAGTGGTGCACTCAGGGCCCATTAGAGCGGTGCACTCACTTTCACTGTCCGGCTGAAGCGCGCGAAAAACAAACACTTTTCATCTAGGATCATCAGAGGCTGTTGCATCCAAGAAAGACTGATTGAAACCTACGTTTCGAGAGACTACCAGGATAATTGAAGGTGAGTTAAACTATTGTATCCGGGTAATTGTAGATGGAAAGTAGAGATGTAACTGTTCATTGCCTTTATTTTTATATAAATATGATATGGTGTTAGTGCAAAAATGGTACTATAACTTAAGCTGAAGCTAACAGTAATAACTAAGATATATCTGAAATAAATAAGTGTATTGAAACAAATACCAATAACTGTATTGCATTGTTTTCTTATGCGCAATTACTTCATACTGTAGTTCTCTTTTTCGTCCTGCATTTATTGTGCCCCCCTCAGAAAATAACTGGCCCCCCAGTGGCCCCCCCAGTCAAATTGGTCTAGAACCGCCACTGTATAGGATCCCATCAGACTATATTCAAGACCTGTTGAGAGAAGCGTCACACCAAAATGCTCAAGTAAGAATTACACTTTTTACAACTCAGAATCGAATAAAACAATAACAACATGTGTCAGTGCCAGAGTATTTTTGTTGGGTAATCTATGGTAGGGCTAACCCATACAGTGGTGGGGCTCAAGTCAGTATTTGCAATGTAATTACATACACGCTATATCGCCCCCCTTGACAGTGAAACGCCACACTTGAGATTTAGATTATTTCCCTGTCTCAATCAAAATGGAACTGTATGAAATAAAACGGCACATTGTCTTGTAGTAAATAAAAAGGGATCACTGTGAACGTGATGTATGATAGTACACGTTGAAGATCCAATGGCGATACTGAATGGCGGTTCCGATTGATCTCTTCAGTAATGCATGACGCATACCCAACGTTTCGTTGATTGGCTGTAGGCCTATTCAAATTGACTGCTGTTAGCATGCCAATTGCACGCTCCCTCAAAACTTGCGACATCTGTGGCATTGTGCTGTGTGATAAAACTGAACATTTTAGAGTGGCCTTTTATTGTGGCCAGCCTAAGGCACACCTGTGCAATAATCATGCTTTCTAATCAGCATCTTGATATGCCACACCTGTGAGGTGGGATGGATTATCTCGGCAAAGGAGAAGTGCTCACTATCACAGATTTTTTCAGATTTGTGAACAATATTTGAGAGAAATGGTTATTTTGTGTATATAGAAAATGTTTTAGATCTTTGAGTTCATCTCATGAAAAATGGGAGCAAAAACAAAAGTGTTGCATTTATATTTTTGGTCAGTGTAGTATAATAGGAGACCTTTAAAACATATTAAGCTGTTTGGGAGAGAAACGCCCTCTGGAGGGAAACATTTACATGCACAGAAACGTATTGAACACAACACCACATCTTTTGGAATGTGTTTTACTTTTGTTAGTAGGACCATTCATGGACTCATGAAAAATGGGAGCAAAAACAAAAGTGTTGCATTTATATTTTTGCTCAGTGTATTTCATGAGTAATATAGCCATTTTATTTGGCATTAGTAAATAATTATGCACATTTACAGATATTTTACATGATATGAGTGATAACACGTGTTATAAGGGCTATTTTGCACAATAGGTGTGCCTTGAGATTTTTACTTGTCCTTTGGTGTGCCTTGGGCACAACAAGTTTGGGAACCACTGACTTAGACTATTCCTTGCACGCACCCCTCTTCTAGCATAACCCTGAATGGTGTCAACCATATTGCATCAGTAACGTGCACTTCATTGTTGTTACAGCAGGATCAGTTTGTGTGTTGTGGACACGACCCGTATATTTTCGTTAGCCGTGTTCTCAACATTTAGCATTTTGCTTATTATTCAATTTAATTTGCTTACTTTAACATCATTTTTCATGGTGGGGCTAAGCCATTTCTTGGTATGGCTGTAGCCTACCCCAGCCATACCCTGGCGCCGCCACTGGTGTTCATGCAGTGCTAAATGATATTCCAGTCCAAACCAAAGTGCTTCTGCAAGTCATTTATTGTGGTAAATACTGTTACAAACATTCTGGCTCTGGTACAGGAATGTAGCTCCATTAGCTAGAACATCACAGAAAAAAGCTAGCAAATAAATAAAACATTGCTGCTGCTTTACAGAAATTGTATTTTCCTTATATGTATATATTTTTTTAATCTTCCGACACATTGAGAGTTAATGTTTCAGTTACATTCAAAATGAGTGCACTTAAAAATACTTGTTAGCCAACCCTACTGCCTGTGCTAGCTTCAAGTGCTTGTTTCCTCTGTTAGCTACATCGTGTCACGCTAGCCTGACAGTCCATGGAGGGAAATTATCACTCACACCTTACATTATCTCGTGCTCTAGCTTTATGTCTTTTAACATATTAGTTGTGTACATTCCGTTCACATTGCTCTCTAATGAAGCTTGCCTTTAGACCAAACAAACAAAACCATTAGAAGTATATACCTTTACATAGTTTTCTATATATTTACTTTATATGTGTATTTTATATATCCAGCTGGTTTTTGTTTGAACATGGAGTACATTGGTTTAAATCACACTACACACACACACACACACTAGATGTAAGAACAGTACAGCGTAATCTCTGTAAATCCAGAAATGGCTGCCCTTGCCCCTATTCCTCTTCAGGGTCCGTTTTACCATCATAAAGAGTCCAGTAGTAGCAGTAAGGCCAAGATGAGCTTCATCAATGAGGTCATACATATGGAATAAGCATTGGCTTTTAAAGATCGAATATACAGTGGGGTACATGTGGTTGAGCCTTAAACTCAAGAGGGATGTAAACATCGTCGTCCAACAGTGGAAATAAAGCTGTTCAAAGCAAAACAGTTGGGCTGGTGTAGTCAGGTACATTCCCAGAGATGCAGAGGAGTAGGTTTTGAGTTAATAGCGCTTTAGGATGTGGAGGAAAAAAGTCTACACTGATAAGATCGAAAAGATTGAAAGTCCAAATTGACTGGCCTTTAAAAGGTTCTTGTTTCCGAGTTGTTTATCACTTGGAACATTAGTTTTAACCTCAATGATTAACCCGCAATCCTTAGTAAACCTTAGAGTCCATCATTAGTCCACACCCACCCCCACCCCCACCCCCACCCCCACCGCCCCCTCCCTCCCCGTAAAACCTCAATTTGGACTGGAGAGAGACAACAATAAGACCTTCTTGGTGTGCTACATTTTAAAGGACAGTCTTATTGCAGTCAAGGGGATGTGTTCTGTTTAAAGGAACACTTGAAAAAGAGAGAATTCAATTGAATTGAATTCAGAAATTTGATTTGTATCTTATAAATAAATAAAAATTACATCTTACACATTATTTCCTTTTTGAATTGAGTTAGTTTGAAATGGAGCACAATGGCTCTGCAACATTGTAAGAGGCTGCAATAACATGAACCATTTATTTTCCCTTTTTAAATAATGTTTAAAGCTTAGTCTTTTGACACTAAATATGTTGTGATTATAATACATGTGCAGAACCTGAGCCACATGAACATTCGTAGCCAATGACAATCATCGTGTTAAATAAATGGCATAGAAGGCAGTGTGAAAAAAGAAACGTTTTTTGAATCTGCTACTGTATATGTGAGTCGCAGTCTGAGAGTCACTTATATTTCAGGTTCATTATCCTGTTGGTTCATTACCTCCTGGAACATAACACAAATGATGTAGAGAACCCTCTTCTGTCAGTAAAGCCGTTTTAAAGGTGCTTATATCTGTTTCAGTTGTAACACAAATCCTTCTAATCACTGAAGAGTCAAATATTTTACCCAGAAGACCGGCAGCAAAGACCTGCTCACTTTAGTCCCTTACCTTGTCTCATGTGATATCAGCACCTTTACTATAAAAAATTACTTCAAATTGAAAAGCAGATAGTCAAGATCATCCACAGCATTTTGAAGATAACATGCCGGTATGTCTGTTACCTATATGCCACGTTCCACAGCTGAACCTTTGTTTTTAAATTCTAGTTTTAGGAGGCAGACACTGATTTCCAGTGATTTAAAATCGAATGGGATAAAATACCAGTTGAGTCATTTAAGAGGCACCACTTACATTTGAAAAAAATCCTAATGGACAGTCTCATTTTGTGTATTAATACAACATAAAAGTATCAAATTATCAGAGAACATTTAAATAAGAAAAAGGTAATGAAAATAATCATATTTCAAGTTAACAAAATAAAGCATTGCACTTTGGATAACCCGTGAACTGTCTGCAGTGCAGGAACAGAAAGTCTGTATTCCTTCAGGAACGTGAGAGAAACTACCGCATGCCATAATACTACGCATCTCATTGCCGTTAACACTTCAGGGATCTGTACTCTGCTGGGTTATAGGTATTCATAACTCAAAATATGCTAATAATCCTGATGTCTCCCCCTCCTTCCTACTCTTTCTTCCCCTTAAACATGTTTTGTCCTTCATCACATTTAAAAGCAAATAGACAGTTACACAGTTAAACTCATAATAGAAATAACACAAATTGGGTAATCAAACAGTGCTACATATAGAAAGCTGTATATGGGATATCTTCGCTGATATGATGCTGATAAATGTCTCCCTGGCATTATTCATAATTATATTAATGGAAAGCGTATTAACAAAAACAATTCACTGTTTCTTATTTCCAATTGAATAAAGGCAGCATTTTTCTTGTCATTGTACATTCTCTGTTGGACTGTTGGAGGCCATTCTCTCCCTCAAATGAATCAGGCCTTTCCTGAAGGAGGATTGTATTTTTTGTTATTAGTCATCATATAAGAAGCCTTAATATGTTCTTATTTGCTCCTCTTTTAATGTTCTGTCAATGCAGACTAAACCCTGATAAATGTGTTGCAAAATGTATATATTTGCAGTATTACAAACTGGGTATTTGCAGGATCTCGTGGGAAGTGAAATCTACAAAACACAGAAACACAGAGAGAGATCTTTGGGATTGAAACTTTCAGCTGCTGTCACTTACACGAAACACCTCCTGAACCCACAGTTAACATTAAAAACCTTGGCTAAAAACCGGTGGCTTAAAGGGAATAAAGCCATAAAATGTAGACTTTTAATGTGAAAACTGCAGCCAAGTTTCATAAGCAGTAGTTAACAAAAGAAACAAAAGCAAGTAGAAGCCACTGGAATGATTTACTGAATAAGACTGTTGTTGGCAAGAGAAAGCGAAAGTCAGTGACATGATGCCACGACTCTTGTTGAGCTGCGGAATAATAATTAGGGGCCAGCCTTTGTTTGTTGGTGCCATACTCGCCTATAGCTAGACCATTTAAAGTGGCTTGTATGCACTACGAGCAGTGTCCTGTGTACAGAGATCAGTAAACCCTGTACAATGTTAAGGAAACAGACTATATACATGTACAGTGCTTTGTGCATCCACATACAATGGTATGACGTAGTCCCGAGCACACTCCATTACCTACCTATTACTACATTATCAAACCAGCAATGAATAAATCACATTTCTATAGAGGCCAAATTATAAAGGCTTGATTTCCTGGAACTGTTTGCGTTCAAAAGAGAGGTGCAGGAATGAGCTAAAAAACCCAAAAATGAGTTTATTAATGTATTACCATTTCCGGTGCTGTTTCTTTGTAAATGCTTTGATTAGAAGCCTGAAATAAGGTATATGGTTAACACAAGCTTACAAGATTTTCATGTTTTGTTCTAAGACATAAAATACATATATAGTAAAAAACCTACTGGTGAATGTCCAGAGTCTAAATAAGACTGCTTAACATCATTAGCCAAACATTAGCCACCTTGCTTAATGTTTGGCTCAGTCATGTGACCCTGATGTAGTCCGATTATAGCATTATGTTAGTTTTTTACTTCTGGGGATTGCATTTTGGCTTCAAAGATAAGAAAAGTGGTGTTCAGATTTGGAGATTACCCTGCTGAACAGAAGGTGAAAGTATCATGAACATGTGTTTACCAACGCACATTTTAATCCAAAATCCCATTGTTTTTTTTCTAACTTCAGAGTCGGCCAACAAAAGTACATCACGCTCTATAGAATAGGCAGAGTTTTTCTTTTTAAGGTTTTAGGGGAGTGAAGCGATAGAACTTCATACAGTATATGGTTCACTTTGTTTGAGAAAAACTGCCTGGGATTATTTTTGAATCATTCCCTCCCTGTTGTGTTCCAACACCTTGACACAGGGACATGGTGGTGCAGGTGTGATGTTACGCCCCCATGTTTGGACAGCATTACTTTAGTTGGTGTTGTCACATGACAACACCAACCTGACGGAGCTACAGCTTGTGCTCTGTACAGAGGATACAAAAATGTAATAAATGATCAGCCAACACTGACTGTGACAATGGAGTCAGAAACGTATCTGTTGGAAATGTGCAGCGTCAACTCTTCCAAAGCAGCGGACATATGGAATGTGCCAAGGGGAAGTGTGTGCTCACACTCATCTGTCAGCATGGTTCGCACTGAGTTACAGTAGCAGGCTCCAGCTTGGTCCCATGAAATGTAGCTAAAACATGAAAACTGAAGATAAAAACACATAAGTTGGTGGAGGAACTACGTATATAAAGACACAGGCAGTGGTCTGCCAATGAAATAGCAGCATGGCAGAAAGGACAGTCAGGGTTAGATGTGCAGATTGCTCATTAAATATAAGGTTTATAGTGTGTGAGAAGTTCAAATTTTTCTGATTAAACAATGACCATATAGTTAAAAGTTGCCTAAACTGAACATTAGAGATGCGCTGAGGAACTGCTCCCAAGTTTGAAAGTGTGAAATGTGTTGAGGATTGCGGGGCACTACTAGGCGCAGAAATAGCAACAGGTGTAAACATCTATCACCCTTTGTACATTTAGCCAAAGTAAGAAAACAAATCCTTTAGTGACGACAGATACTCTGGGTTTCTATGTTGTCACTTGAAGATGAGGCAGAGCAACAGAACAATCCCACTAACAACTCACTACAGTCCACCAGCTGGGACCAGAAGGGTGCAGGGTGAGCGGGTGGGGGGGGGGGGGGGAGTTAGAGGTGTGTGAGGTCAGGGCTCGGTCTTCTTAGATGTAAACAGGCTGCTCCTGGGCGGTCAGCAGGCGGTACATGGCTGCAGGCATTGTCTTCATGTGGATCTGAGACAGTCAAAAACAGAGCAAAGCATTTCATTGATGGACTTATTGAAGGTAAATGCCTTTGAATGTCAAGTGCCAAAGGGTAGCAGTCATTGCCATCCCAGACATCCCCAAGTTTAAGAAAAAACACAGTCACGATGAAACTAATTGTGTCATACTAAGCACTATTTAAGAGGCCTTATTCTGCTTTTTGGCGGGTCTCCCTCTCCTGTAGTGTGTTATATAGGTTGTTGTGCAATGGTCTGCAAAGGCTAACATCCCTGTGTTCCCTCCAACTCCTCCATCGGACTCACTATGAAACACTTCTATTGGCTAGCGCTCCAACACATTGTACGTGATAGGCTAAAGGGCAGGACATGCAGTTGACTAATCACAACAGAGCTGACCAGCTAACCAATCAGATCAGACTGGGCTCTGGTTTCAGACAGAGGGTGAAAAGAGGTGCTGCAGCACAGGGAGCATGAGAAAAATAAAGAGCTTTTTGAACATGGAGACATGTCACAGTAGAGACACTACATACTGATATGAACCTGAAAGTGAGAAGAATATGGTCCCTTTAAATAAAACGTATGAACTCTACACTGGGAGGTCAGGCTGGTGATTTAAAGCTTGCAATAAGTGTTGTGCTGCTTACACTGCGTGCACTGGCATTCACCTTTGGGTGTCATGTAGCTGCTGCTGCTGTTTATAGCCGAGCACACAGCGAGATGCAGCCCGTCCGGAGACATCTGATGCTTCTGCTCAGCAACCCAGCTCTGTCACTCCCTGCTAATAACTCTCATAATCATATGGCCAAGCCGAAGTCATGTGATATTTTTAACCCTTAGTTCTTTCAAGTGTTAGGTGGCAGAAGCGCTTTGGTTACCAGTGGTGTAAATGTACTCAAGTCATGAACTTAATTACTATTTTGACACTTTTACTCTACTTGATTATTTCTATTTTCTCATATTTTATACTTCCAGGCCACTACAATTAAGAAGAAAATACCATACTTTTTACACAACTCCATATTTTTTAATTACTTTAGTTCCTTTGCAGATTTGGATTAATGATATGAAACATAATCAACACATACATAATACTTTGATTACACCTGAAATAAGTTCACAAGCTACCCTGCAGTATACAGTCATTTACTTAGCTCCCGCTCACCAGCTGCAACAAACACAATAATTCATCAGTAAATATAATCCAAAAACATGAAATATCTTTCTGACCTCTGCATAGAGAGTATTTTTACGTTGGTAAGTCATGTTTAATGCTAATGGTTTTGTACTATTACTTGAGTAACATTTTGAATGCAGGTTACTTACTTGTAACAGAGTATTTCGGTATTCCTATACTGTAGTATTGCTACTTTGACATATAAGTACAACAACTGAGTACATCCTCCACCTCTGTGTGTAACTATGTTCTTGAATAAGTCTGGCAGAGGATCGATAGCTCAGTGTTGGTGATGTCAGAATGCAGAGGGACGTCTCACCTCTCCCACAGCGTTGGACAGGATGTGGACGATCTTCTCATGGGGCGTGGCCACCACGCTCTGGCTGTTGATCTCGATGATGCGGTGTCCCACTCTGACCCCGCCCCTCTCAGCGATGCCCCCACGCATAAGGCTGCAGATCTGTTTATCGACAGATGAGTTAATTTTGATCACAAATAAAAAAGTGATTTAACAGAATACAGACACAGTTCAGTATCACCCACAATGCCGTTCTGGACGCTGAACCCCAGCTGGTAGCGCAGGTCTGGCCGTCTGATGAGCACAGTGGTCACTGGGGGACATCTGACGATGTTCAGCTTGATCCCACACTGGTTCTTCAGACCCTACATAAAGAAATGCACATGGTATCAGCGAAACATCACAGGGTTCACATCACTGCAAACACAGATCAGATCCCAGCAGCAGAACAGAAAGACAGAAGCTGCAGTTCACAGGACGGAACCAAATATATTTCCACAGACCCTCATGTTAAAGTGCCAAACCTCACAGCAGAATAAAAAGATTTCACTGCTTGGGACAAAAAAGTCTCAACGTGTTTTTTCTCTTTCTCAAAATGTTCATTTCTCCTTAATTACTAAATATCTGGACAAAGTCGTTGCCAGGCAACAACTTGAGGTCTTTGATAACACTTGAAAAGTTTGAATATAGCTTTCATCAGCATTAGTATTCAATTATTATTTATTTAACAATCACTCTCATGCTTGACGCAGTAAACAATTGCATTGTGTTTGGCAGGGGGATATTATGAGTCAAAATTGTCTATTCATATTTCAAAGGAAATTGGTCGATGATAAAAAAAATTCTCTATATATATATATATATTTGCGATGGCATGTCGTTTAATGTATTTCTACTTTTTTGATTAAATAAAGCCAAAACTGCATCCAACTAAACCTAATGAGCTTCGGTAATAAGTAGTATATTAATTAAAGGCCCCATGTCATGCTTTTCCGGTTATTACCCGTCCCCTTGTGTGTTATGAAGGTTTTTCTGCATGTAAACGGTCTGCAGTCACAAACCCTCAAAGTACACCCTGTAGCGAGTAAAACTCTAACACAGAGAAGACCTGTCTGTGCTGCCCCAGAACGCCTCGTTGGAGATTTCTCTTTTTCCATTGTTTTCTTCCTGGGTTCTGTGACGTGTGAACACCCAAATCAACAACAAATGACCGGATTGGCCCAAATGGACCAATCCGCGGAGCACCTCACATACCGGGATCCCTTGGCTAACTAACAGGGAGTCCCCATTGATTTGCATAGAGCTCCCTGAACGCTGGTAATAGACGAGTTGGGATGGCGGAGAAATGCTCTCCGCAGACCCATTCTCACAGCGTTATAAACCTTTTTCTTTCTTAATATCAAGCCACACTTATTGTTTTTACTTCGGCTGTGAGTGTTTGGGTGTGCTCAGGATGAGTTTCGCTTGTTCAGAGAGTGAATACACATACTATACAGAGATGCTGTATGAGAAACCAATGTGAGTTTGGAAAATTGCACAATGTAAATCTATTCTAGTAGACCTCAACAATGGAATTATGATCAGTAGAAATGACCTTTAAGTTAAATTGTGTTTTGTGGAAACACAACCAGGCTGGAGGTAGAGTGCAGGTGTAGAAGGGCCATAAATACCTTGATGATGCTCTGGCAGGTGGACAGTGGCAGTCCCACCAGACTGGTCCCATTGAGGGACATTATCTGGTCTCCTATATTCAGTTTGCCAGACCTCTCAGCTGGCCCAGCATGCATCATGTTGGCGATGATGACGGTGGGCAGGATGGAGCCCCACCCACTCTCCACAATGACCACACCCAGAATCTCCCCCTTTGATTTCTCTACGAACACCTGAGGGAACAAAACCGCAAAACCATTTGAAGTTAGAGTGAAATAAATGATGACTATTCACCGCAAAACATTTGCCCACATCATAATGCAGCAATATCAAATAGTTTAGTGTAAGAGGTTACTTTATTCAGGATTAGGGAGTAATAAATTACATTATGTAATCAGATTACAAAAAAGGTACATGTATAGGGGTAGGGTTAGGGTTAGGGTAATGTTGTGAATCGAGTGGCCTGTGTTCGTCGTCCATAACATACGCCTGCCCATACCATAACCCCACCACCACCATGGGCCACTTGATTCACAACATTACCCTAACCCTAACCCTACCACTCACACCAGATACTGACTGGTTTTCGGACCCCCCCAGACCCCCCCCAATAAAGCAAAACTGCACGTTTCAGAGTGGCCTTTTATTGTGGCCAGCCTAAGGCACACCTGTGCAATAATCATGCTGTCTAATCAGCATCTTGATATGCCACACCTGTGAGGAGGGATGGATTATCTCGGCAAAGGAGAAGTGCTCACTATCACAGATGTTTTCAGATTTGTGAACAATATTTGAGAGAAATGGTTATTTTGTGTTTATAGAAAATGTTTTAGATCTTTGAGTTCATCTCATGAAAAATGGGAGCAAAAACAAAAGTGTTGCGTTTATATTTTTGTTCAGTGTATAAAAAAGTACCCAAGGCGCTCATTTTGCAGCTCATGGTTTCAAAACAGAGATTGGCTGGAATATTCATGTATAAAAGATGCCATCTTCTGCAATGCATGTAGACATTTTGGTTCAAGTACGTCAGATGCCTTCACCACAACTGGCTACAACAACTGGCGCCATGCTCTTGTAGGCTACGTGATAAGGGACTGGGAAGGCATGAATCAAGCAAAGAGCACATAGATCCATAGATCTCTTCATTTTGCTCTCAAAGTGCACCAAAAATCTTCCACCTAGAGGAGGTGAGGACCCTCCTAGAGGAGGTGAGGACCCCCCTAGAGGGTGTTAGGTCCACTCCCCACTTATAAAAATAGCACCCTCTCTAATCTCAGATGCACCCTGAGTCATTTTATTCTGGAACCGGGCCTGTAACCGACGGACCTGTGAAGCTTAAAGGCCCTGACACACCAAGCAGTCACCAGAGAACTCGCCGATGCCGATGCCGACGCCGACGCCGACTGTTGCGTCGGCGTGTTCTCCTGCGTCTTGGCCATGTGTCGCACTGGAACGCACCACAAAGACTTCAGCCGAGCACGTACGAACTGCACATGCGTGAGCGGCAATAACTCTCCTTACCAGCAGGCGGCGGTAGTGTGTATTCGTCATTCAAAAGAGGCAACAACCGGAAGACAGAGAAGAAGAACAGACTGCGTGATATAAACAAACAACAAATAGCGTGTGCGTTCCATTTTCACTCTCGTCCATCGAAAACATGTTTCGTGCGGCACTGGAGCTATCAGCCATTGGAGTGTTGCTTGTGGAAGAGATTCTCAAGCAACCGTTTCGCTTCTCATGCACTGATTCGCTAGCTGAACAGCCAATCAGTAGAGGTTTCTCAATACTCTAATTTCCCCTCCTCGACTCCTCGACTCCTCGGTCCTCCGGTAGTGACCCGGAAATGGATTTCAGTGCGCCATGTTGAAGGACATCTCATTTCTCTAAATGCACATCGAGGATCTAGGATCGAGCGTCGAGGAGGCTCTCTGGAGGAGCTCTAACCGAGGAGACACTGATGGTTCCTCCACGGCTCCTCCACGGATGCATTTCCGGGAACGGTGGAGTCGTGACGCACGGCTGGACTTATCTCAGCCAATGACAGCTCTGCATGCATCCCCTGGATATTATTTTAGAAACTGCTTTCATCGCGTCACGATGTTTCCAGAGAGAACAGCTGTGAGGTCCATGCAGAAAGCAGAGCAGTGTGTATAATATATATCACTCAGTATAACAGGCCTACTCTCTTTATTTGCTTTAGTTTAGTAGATATCTACAAACAAAGAGTCGATATTTTTCTAAGACCAATTACTGCTTCACATAATAAAATACACAACGGCTGTAGCCTGATTATGCTTTAGGAGCTGTTGTAGGCTACAGTGCGTAGATGCGGCGGACAGACGGGTCTCAGTTAGTTTGGTGTCCTCTGCTTACTTTTAATACTTGTAAATACAACTTTTGGCCCGTAATTTCAATTCCCCATTTCAGCTACCAGAGAGGGGGGGGGGGGTATATCCAGTCTCTGATTGTGTTACGTTATTATGAGAGTGCTCTCATACTTGTTTGATTCTGAAATTGTATATATTTATATAAATATATGTGTGTGTGTGTGTGTGTGTGTGTGTGTGTGTGTGTGTGTGTGTGTGTGTGTGTGTGTGTGTGTGTGTGTGTGTGTGTGTGTGTGTGTGTGTGTCCGCATCTGTAGCCTGTTATTGTCTCATTATACCGCACTGTGAATGAATCAAAGTAAATATATAAGTCGCCATGAACACATCTGTCCATCAGACAGAGGGCTGCTGTGCCTCCTGTCATCATTAATGGACGTCTCTTTAAAATGATCGCTCAGAGGAGAGGAGTTCTCATTTCTCTAACCGCATGCTGCTTCCCCTCCTCTCTCCTCGACTCCCCTCCTCGACTCCCCTCCTCGAGTCCTCCGCTCGCATCTCCTGCGGGCGGCACTAAGTGTCGAGGATAGGAGTCGAGGAGGGGAGTCGAGGAGGGGAGTCGAGGAGGGGACATTTAAGAATTGAGAAACCTCTAGAGTGATTTCTTTGTCCGACTGCCTGTGGCCGACTTACGCCAAATAAGGCGTGTCACGGCCGACGGTGCGGGACACACCAAATTGAGTTTGGGCGACAGAACACGCTTCGTCGTCCGACTAACGAAAACGGCCAATTTCGGACTGGTGTGTCAGGGCCTTAAGCTGCCAACTTACTCAGGGTGTTATGGAAGAGTTTGAAATCAGATCTTGTGTAGGAATACTCTGTTACAGTAAAAGTCCTGCATTCAAAATGTTACGTTAGTAAAATTAGAAAAGTATTAACATCAAAATATAGTTAAAGTGCCAAAAGTGAAATTAGTCGTTGTGCAGATTGGTCCATTCCAGAATAATATATATGATATGTTTTATAATGATTGATCATGAAAGTGTTCTCAAAGCTGGTGAAGGTGCAGCTAGTTTGAATGACTTTGTATACTGCAGGGTAACTTGTGGATTTACTCCAGGTGGAACTAAAGTCTGATTCAACACTTGATTATATTTCACATCATTCATCCACATCTGTAAAGTAACTAAAGGTATTAAATACATGTAGTGGAGGAAAAGTAAACAATTTACCTCTGAACTGTAGTGGAGTAGAAGTACAAAGTAGCATCAAAGTCAAGTAAAGTACAAATATCTCAAAATTGTACTTAAGTACAGTACTTGAATAAGTGTACTTAGTAACTTCCCACATCTGAAATCAGATATGACTTCAAGTCATGTGATCATTTCTTAGTATTTGATCCTTCAACTTGGCCTCAGGAAATGCAAGGACTTCACAGTTTTGGCAACAACTTTTGGAGAAAGCAAATTGGAGGCTTAAAAATAGATATGGAGGTCTTCATCATCTTCATCATCTAGCATGCAATAAGTGTAAATAGAGGACAGTGAAGGAGACACTGTGGAGGACCACGCTTTGTGTGGGGTGAGTACCAAACGCTGTCTCCTGGTACTCATCTGAGTAACTCACAAAAAAAGTGATTGGCACCCCTGGTTATAGATCGATCTGGGCACTATGAACCAGTGGCATTGGTAAAGGAAGTGATGTAAGACTGATGAGGCAGCAGTTCAAGTGTCTGCTTGATACACAGCCCTACTCACGTCTTTGCAGTTCTCAGACTTAGAGAAGTGGATGAGGTCATCATTGTACATGTCCTGAGTGTTGAGCAGATCGCTGAACTCCTTCTGGCTCAGGTCCTCCGGGTTAATACCATTTGCCCGTAAGAATTCCTGGTAAGCCACACTGAAGGCCTGCCCAATGGACTGGGCGATCAGCTGGGCCTAGAGGGGAAGAGGATTGTGGGTGAGACGGTTTTACATCATGTATACAATCTGTTATGGTCAACTCAATTTATACAAGCAAATACATGAGAGTACTCTGCTGCTGGACTCACATCCTCGGACTCAAACACATGGCATATCATCTTGTACTGCCGCTTGCTCTCTTGCCCTGGATCTGAGGCCTCCACGTTCTCCTGAGAGTCGGGTCGAGGCATCCTGCGGCGGGCCATCAGAACCACGATGTTACCAATGTCAGCAATGTAGGAGATGGTCCTCAAAGGGTGGTCCATCATGGTCTCCTGGAAGTCAGAGAGCCAGAACAGTCTCAGTGAAACCACTCAAGGACATGGCTATACAAACGTATAAAGGTCCATATTGATGGTTGTTTAGAGTGTTTAAGTGATTAAGTATTTTTGTATGCTAACCCGGAAGTTAGCGTCACAAGAGCTCCCTTGCCAGAAGCAATGGGTTCCATTGGGTTTCGAAAGATTTCATGTTTACTATACGTACACGTTTTGTTCAGCATTATAATCTTCAAATTTGAACACCACTGATTTCTGATTTTTTTTTTAAAGATCTCTAATAGACGTTGTTTCCTCTATGCTTCAAAACAGCTTCATATCTTACAGTTCTTTCACTCATCTTTCTTCTGTTTTTCAGTGTTTTCTAATCTAGAAAGCACTGCATTTTTTTTTAGCTTAACGTTTGATTTTGAACGTTAAGCTAAAAGAGAACTTCATCACAGTTCTCTGGTTGTGCATAACCACCGCAATACTTAACGCGGCTAATGTTCAGCATGAAGATGTCTCATTCAGCCACATGTTAGCAACCCCGTATTAAGACAGGTACATGCTTCAAACATTCACAAGTGGTAGAGCTTTAGGTTTTTAGGACTCATTCCTGCACCACTCCAATATTGTACTCAATCTTGACTCAATTGTTAAGACTTTTTAAAAACTTTTTAAGCAGACATAAATTGCAGTTTAATACCTGTTTCACAGCCTATAATTATTAACCAAGTGAATGATCTTATTGACATTTCAAATGAAATTTCTCTCACACCTTTCCAGTTACACAAATTCCTATGACATAATAACTGTATTAATGTATATGACCTGGACATGAATAAGAAGCATTAATGGTTAATCAAATAATAAATTAACCATCAATTTAAGGTCGATAGGATTGGCTAGACTCTGATCAAATCAGATACGAAAACATTTAAACATCAGTAATATTCCTGCCGATGGAAGGCTATAAAAACCAGAGAGTACCTGAGAGTCAGCGTTGAGCACTTTGATTCTCTGGGTAGAAATAAAGAGATCCACCTCCGTCATGGGCTGAGGCTCTCCCTCAGGGGCCTACACACACACACACACACACACACACACACACACACACACACACACACACACACACACACACACACACACACACACACACACACACGCACACACACACACACACACACACACACACACACACACAGAACATATAGACAGAAACGTTCATGAGCAGATGTTCCTGAATGAACAGACATCTAAAGTTAGAGGTCAGTAACGTGTTATTCCATCCAGAGCATGCAATGAAAAAACTGAAACGTTGGCTTTATTTAAATGTATTATGTCAATACATTTCACATAACTGTATTAGGATAGTTGAAAGCAACAATTTTAAGTTGAACCTAATTATTTATATTTAAACTTAAAATTATTGATTTGAATGAACCTAATACAGTTATGTGAAACCTGTTGACATAAAACATTTAATTAAAGTTAACGTTTCAGATTATTACTTTTTTTGGCAACAGAAGCAAGAGTATAGAATCAATCAATTTAAAGACTTCACCCTGGAGAAAATAATTGAATAACAAAGTACTCTATTAAGACAATACACTATTAAGACAGCAATCTATCAGTGTGTTAAAAATAAGTAAAAGTACATGTTTTAGTGTTGAGCAAGAAATGCTTGAAATAAAGGGCACTTGTGATTTACAACAAATCATTTCATAGTAAAACTAATACAGCATGTGCATTAGAGCATGGTCCTTTAATATGATAATACATGATGAACTGAAAGGTTCAAATTCAGACTTTTAACCATGGCTGGAGATATTCTGTCTCGAATATCTTAACACATTTTGGATGAATTGCTGTGAAATCTGCCAGACATTCATGGTCCCCAGTGGATCAATCCTATTGACCATGATTGTTTACCTAGCAGCATCATCATCATCAGGTCAAACTCACAATGCCTCTCGGGGCTGCTTCTCTTATCATGACCAGGGTTGACATTAACCTTTAAAAAATCAGTATGCTATCATTGTCATTATGAGGATGCTGGACACTGAGCTTAAGGCCCAGCAGAGCCCCATTGCAGCCACCAGCATAGCTTTCTTACATTTCAGGCCTCAGAGACAAACTAATGAGATTACTTGGCATTTTGACTCTAGGTGGGTTAGCAAACCATAGGTAATATATATGTATACATAGTAGCATTACAATTACAGAATCAGCAGGAGAGATAGAAAGCACACTTAACACAACCACAAAGCCAGCACAGTGTGAGAAAGATTACAGCTGTTTCCTGCATCCAGCACACTGTGAGGGAAGAGCTAGTGTTCCAAATCATGCGTGAACTGGAAGGGAATACACAATATGGAAGGGACTGGAGATTGAAGGAAGGGACGAAGCTGGAGTCAGAAAAAGAACAACAATCCATGAGAGTGACAGACACACAGAGACAGAGAGCCAATCAGAGGAAAAAGAGAGGTACTGCACCTTCTTCTTGTTCTGGGCTAATTTCTGGGCCGTCTGCCAGGCATGGAATAAAGCAGAGAGGAGAGTGAAGGGTTAGAGCGAGCACAGGAGGACTGAGAGGATCACACAGAGGCAGGGACGGCATATGTCACATTCTTTCAGCAGGTGTGTTTGGTGGTTGCTTTGGATTTGTGGAACTGCGTTATTGGAGCATCACAGAATCAGTCCCACCAATGGCAGAACTGAGGGTTTTGTGTAATCTTAAGGAGATGTATTAACCTTTTAATACAGAAAGTAGATTATGTATTGTCAAATGTTCTGAAATTGAAAAGGCAGAAAACAGTAACACATTTTTGGATGAGATATTAAGCTTATATTTTAAATGGAAATGGTGGATTTGAATCAAACCCTCTTTATTTAACACCCACATAACACAGCTCACACAGTGACATGTTATCTCTGCATTTAACCCATCGTAGTGCGAGGAGCACTAGGCATCCATTGTACAGTGCCCAGGAGGTGAACTGGGACCTCTCTCTACCAGTCCACACTCCCTACTTTGGTCAGGGTTCTTTCTCTGTTCATACTGATAATGCATGCACTCATTACAGTAGGAGCCTGGCCTCTTGCATAACCCTTTCTCCACCAGCAGGTGTCTCTGTTGTTTTGGCTCCAGAACAGACTGAGAGGTTTTGTACAGCAGTACATGACCACACATTTCAGCTTTACATTCTCTAAGAGTGAAAAGCTGTACAAAGAGTATAATGATTGGTCCTTTGTTTTTCTTTAAGTGCCTTGCCAAATTAAACATAGTCATAGAACTAATATCCAGTGCTAAGCGGATGATACTCGGCTGTATGTAAAGGCAGATAAACATTTCCATACAAATATGTCTAAAAGTCACAACATTTCCTGCACCTAAACTCATGTAAAACCTTCATGTTTATCATCGGCTCCTCTCCAAATAGACACCAGTTTAATCAAATAAAACTCTAGACAATGATGTGATTTCTCCAAGTCTCATAACATCTACTGTAAGAACAGTAATTTAACTGCAGTTAAATGAGCATGGTGTTTTTTGTAGCTATATGTAGCTAAAGGAAAGATGCCTCACTCCATTGCAGTTGTTGGAGATACAGTCAGCTGTGGTATTACAGAGTGAAACATCTTTCCTCAGAAACTATCCTGAGGAGCAAAAAGTCACGTTGCTGCTGGTGGTCCTCAGACTGAATAATCTATATAATTATGGCACAGACTACAAAACAAGTCATAGTTAGGTATATATATATATAATATAGTTTATTTAACTGTTACAAAAACTAAAATGCAACAGTTTGACTTTTCGCTACACATAAGAGACTTGACTGTGTCTGGCAAACATAAGGTAAAGACCAGTGTGGGCACAAACTACAGGAATGTGTGTGTGTGTGTGTGTGTGTGTGTGTGTGTGTGTGTGTGTGTGTGTGTGTGTGTGTGTGTGTGTGTGTGTGTGTGTGTGTGTGTGTGTGTGTGTTCACCTTGATGCGGCTGACCGCCTCCTGTGCCTGCATCATGCGGATGTTCTTGGACGGTGTCTTATCCGACAGCAGCTGGGTGGAGCCCAGGTAGTTGGCTGCGAAGATGATCCCATCGATCAGGTCCTCTGGGTCACATGGGCCTGGGACTGAAAGGGGGGGGGGGTGAATGGTTGAATCTCCCTCTGAAACACTATGTTTCACCTCAAAAAGAAGGAGAAGCCATTTCACAAAATCATACTTGATTCCTATTACTGTAGCAATCGTCAGAGTTCATCCATCACATTTTTTTTATATAAAATGTAATCTTTTTAAACTGAATTGACATTGAGTCCTCTCTTTATCATCTACCAATATATCACTGTTTAAATATGTGTACAATCATATTTTACATGACGGATACAACCAGACCAGCAGCCCTTTTGATAGCCTCTATGTCCTCTAGCATTGTTGTAGGGGTGCAATTTCTTAATAGCGTGTGTGTGTGTGTCTACCTTTCCTCATCCCCCCATCCCCCCTTCCTCACCTGTCTCTCCCCTCTAAATCTCTATTTGCTCCTGAAGGCCCTAGCGTTAAGGAAATGCTAACACAGCGTTTCCAGCGGGCTTAGATCAGCAGTGCAGGCCAATAACTGTGTATCACCAGAGTACAAACTAAACAGTCACAGTGTAGGTTTGCCATGTCGTTGTGCCTGTGACAACTAAAACCTCTGTGAACCCAGCAATTACCATCACTGTTGATGGTGTGCAGAGGTGGAAGAAGTACTCAGATCTTTAAGTAAAAGTAAAAGTACCAGAGTGTAGGATTTACTCTGTCACTCGTAAAAGTCCTGCAATCAAAATGTTACTCAAGTAAAAGTATAAAAGTAATAATAATAGCAACAACAGCATAACATCCTTAAAGTTGTCATTGTTTGATTGGTCCATTTCAGAATAATATATATGATATGTTTTATAATGATTGATCATGAAAGTGTTCTCAAAGCTGGTAAAGGTGCAGCTAGTTTGAATGACTTTGTATACTGCAGGGTAGCTGGTGGATTTACTCCAGGTGGAACTAAAGTCTGATTTAACACTTGATTATATTTCACATCATTCATCCACATCTGTGAAGTAACTAAAGGTATCAAATACATGTAGTGGAGTAGAAGTACACCATTTACCTCTGAATTGTAGTGGAGTAGAAGTACAAAGTAGCATAAACTGTCCCTCAAAATTGTACTTATTAGTTACTTTACACCACTGATGGCATGTTACATTGTCTGCAAGTCTTCCATATTTTACCGTGTTGATTGTTTTATTTTCTTCCATACTTTTTTGTTAATAGTACTGTACTTTGGTTACTTCAAAATCTGTTTATTCATGTTTGTTTTTGGCATGTCTCAATCACTGGAGGAACTGCAGCCATTTTGTGGCTCAGGTATCCCAGCTTAATATCCTCAATAAACATAGTGACAAGCTGCAAAATCACTGAGATACATTACAATAACTAACGTAGCATCTTTTTCAGAATTCCTCTAACTCTCACTCCACTGTTTGCAACAGAGATGAAGCACTCACCTTCCACATATGTGGGGAAAGATGCAAGGCTTCTCTTGGTCTATATTAAAAGGAGAGGAGAATGAATGAATCAAACATTAATACAACTTGATGTACAAAAGTGAGAATTAGACAATATGTAATAATGGGTTAACACCTCTTTACTGGAGGGAGAAGATTGGAAGCCGTCGTCCTGCAGCAGGAGTCTGCTGGAGGACTCTGCTCCTGGAGGAGAGGGTGAGTCTGAGCCTGGAGACTGGGGGCGGGGGGGGCAAAAAGCACAATGCAACAGTAAGATAAAGGGGACATATCCTGCTTATTTTCAGGTGTATATCAGTATTTAGTTTTAGTTTCTCTGTGACATGTCTCCATGGTTTAATGTTCAAAAAGCTCTTTATTTTTCTCATACCGCCTGTGCTGCACACTTTAAGACCGAACATTACAAGCTTCTGAAAGAAAATGGGTTGTTTTAACTCAAACATTTAAAAAAGTTAATTCACCGCTAATGTTCTAATGACTATGAACTGATTTTTAATATTGTGTATTATATCATTCTATAACAAGCAATGTCATTCCAGATGTTTGGAAAACTGCAAATGTTCTCCCCTTATTGAAAGGTGGTGATCCCATGGTGATGAATAATTACAGACCAATTTCCAAGCTCTCTATTTTAGCTAAAGTACTTGAAAGGCTGGTGAATGATCCAATCAAAGAATATTTAAGCTTGAAGAACATTCTATCTCCTCACCAGTCAGGCTTTAGGAAGCAGCACAGCACAGTAACGGCTGCTTTGAAAGTAGTGAATGACATTGTTGAAGGCTTGGACGCAAAGAGCTACTGTGCTGCCCTTTTTATAGACTTATCCAAGGCATTTGATACTGTGGACCATGGCATTCTGTGCCAGAAGTTATCCCATATAGGCCTGTCTGACCAAGCTGTTGGTTGGTTTGCAAACTATCTTTCAAATCGCAAGCAATGTGTAAAATTCAGCGGTCTCTCCTCAAGCTTTCTTAATGTGCCCAGAGGCGTTCCTCAAGGTTCGGTCTTGGGACCGACCCTTTTTACTATTTATATAAATGATGTGGGTCAAAGTATGGATGCCTCTGTACATCTATATGCAGATGATACTGTTGTGTACTGTTGTGCTAGCACTGTTGCCCTTGCATTTGAACGTCTGCAGTCTGCTTTTGACACTTTTCAGTCACATCTGTTCCACCTTAGGTTGGTGTTAAATTCAGATAAGACAAAAGTCATGTTGTTTTCCAATAAGAAAAAGTTACCAACTGTTCTTCCCTGCATCATGTCTGCACAGCATAACCCCATTGAAGCTGTTAACACCTACAGATACTTAGGCATCACCATAGATGAAAATCTCTGCTTCAAACCACATATTTAGGGACGGGTGGCGCAGTGGTCTGTGCGTTTGATCATCAGATCAAGGGGGCGTTGGGGAACTCCAGTTCGAAACCCGCTCCCGCCCCACTGCGTCAGGCCGTTGTGTCCTTGGGCAAGACACTTCACCCGAATTTGCTCCTGTGGGTAATGTCCACAGTATATGACCATTACATGTATGATCTGTGTGTGTAATGTGTATTTGTAAAGCGCTTTGAGAGTCTTTGATAAAGCGCTATAATAAATATAAGGATTATTATTATTATATTGACAATCTCTTAAGGAAATTGAAATTAAAGCTGGGATTCTTTTTTAGAAATAAGGCCTGCTTCTCCACAAGTGCGAGGAAACGGCTTGTAGCTGCCACATTTTTGCCGCTCTTGGACTACGGGGATGTTGTGTACATGAACGCCTCAGCTCACTCCCTTCATCTGCTGGACGCTGTTTACCATGGGGCTCTGAGGTTCATAACCAACTGTAAACCCCTCACACACCATTGCACGCTGTACTCTTTAGTCAACTGGACATCATTATCAATGCGCAGATCACTGCACTGGTACAAACTCATCTATACCGCTATGCTTGGACTGCTGCCCCTCTACATATCCACTTACATATCACACAAACAGTACAGCTATAGACTAAGATCTCAACATTACATCACTCTGTCCGTCCCCTCAGTACGCACGGTGCTTGGGAAAAAAGCCATATCATACTCAGCCCCCTCGACCTGGAACACACTTCAGCAGGAACTTAAGCTGACCACTTTGATACCCATCACGGATTTTAAACTCATTTTAAAAAAGCTGGAGAAATCATCTGTGGGTGTTTGCACCTGCTATATCTGACTGTATATGGATTTTAATGACTACTTTTTTACGATGTTGTATTTTAGTGTTGCCTCTGTGTTTAGTGTCCTGTCCGTCTGTAACTTTGTGTGGTAGTGTTACCACTGACAGGTCTCTCTTGAAAATGAGACCTTGTGTCTCAATGAGATCTACACCTGTATAAATAAAGGCTAAATAAAAAAAAATATATATATATTGATGACTCCAGGTTTCTGAGGCTGTGGCATGTAAGTCAGCATAATAACTGTTTTGAATGTATGTGACAGATCATCAAAAAAATATAGTTTATCTTGTTACATTGTTTCAGGAGCTCTGTCGCAGGAAGACAATTATTTGAACTTTTATAATGAAAAAATTATAATAACTGATAGATTTAGTTTGAAAAAGTATGAACTGTCCTGGTGTCATCAAAGCTTGATTCTGTCACTAAGGTGTTGTTAATCAAACATTATCTCTTGTGTTGCTCACATCCCATTCAGGTTCCAAGATTTGAATATTGCCATAAGAATTGTAATTATTGTAAGGTACACAATGGATATGTTGAACATAATCTACTTTAGGATTTATTTGAAATTAAGCTCTAGGTTTCAGTGTAAAAAATGGGCTCACGTGATTTAATAAAATACACAATTAAGAGAGGGCTTTCTTTTCTGCAGCATCAGTGTTCAATACAAAATAATCTCTAGTGTTCCCCATATTTTTTTTGTATGTATAGTAGGGGGAAATTATACTGTAAATATATATTCAGTTGCCAGTTTATTAGGTACAACTAGCTAATTTCTTTTTTTTGTAGAGAGGATGTATGTCAACTGATTGGTTATTTTGGAGGCTCAAGTTTCTGGTGCTGTAACATTATGTTGTGCAATAGGCATTTCCTTAACACTAGAACCGCCAACGGGTACATTTTACCCGCAGCTGTTTTTTGATGGTATGTAGCTTTTTTTCAATAAAATATGAAAGTCTCCCAAATTTCTTTTTGGTGTCTATCTACGCCGGGATCCTGAGTTGTGGCTGATCCTGTTGCTGCGGTCCTGTGTCCTGGATCCTCTATCCTGAGTCCTGTATTTGAGTCGTGGCTGAACCTGTCACTGTGGTCCTGCCTGACTCTCATCATACTACTTCCCTGATGGCTCCCACAGGATTGTTGACATCCTCGTGGATTCATCTTCTTATTACAGACACATGCATTTCCTAACATTCTATTGCACGTCTGTCCGTCCTGGGAGAGGGATCCCTCCTCTGTTGCTCTCCCTGAGGTTTCTCCCATGTTCCCCTTTAAACTGTGAAGTTTTTCCTTGTACGATGTGAGGGTCTAAGGACAGAGGGTGTCGTATTGTCATACTGATATTCTGTACAAACTGTGAAGTCCACTGAGACAAATGTAATATTTGTGATATTGGGCTATATAAATAAACATTGATTGATTGAAAACATAAAAAAGTTTTGAGTTCTATTAACTTGTCGGGTTATACTGCAGCACCTCTTTTCACCCTCTGTCTGAGACCAGAGCCAAGCCTTTTTTGATTCATTAGCTGGCCGGCAAGACATGTCCCACCCCTTAGCCTTATCACGTATGTGTGATGTGTTGGAGCGCTAGCCAATAGAAGTTTGAATGTTACATACACTGAAAAATCTGAAACGTTGACTTTAATTAAATGTATTACGTCAACAGATTTCACATAACTGTATTATGTTAGTTGAAAGCAATACTATACAGTTTAAAGGGGACCTATCATGCAAAATGCACTTTGTGATGTCTTTTATACATAAATATGTGGAAGAATTCTGATCAGGCATTAGCTCCGCCTCCTCTTCTCTTTTTTTTCAAGCAAAGGACCCAAGATCCGCGTTTCTCTAACAGGGCTTCAAAAGAGGGGTTTGAGCAGTAAGAGGCATGGCTACAATGGGTGATCTGTTTGGTATTTTGAAAAAAACTTCACAGACATGTTTTGTATAGGTATGGCCCAGCAATATATATTTCAAATATAGCATGATAGGTCCACTTTAAATAAAAAAATAGGTTCAACTTAATATTATTTTGTTGACATAATACATTTAATTAAAGTCAACGCTTCAGTTTTTTTAGTGTAGTGATGTCACTTTGTTCTGGAAGTAAACAAAGGAGTCCAATGGAGGCAGGCGTTTCAGGCAGGGGGGGAGGGGTGGAAAGAAACACAGGGATTTTAGCCTTTGCAGACCATTTACATGCACAAAAACCTAAATAACACACTGCAGGAGAGTGTAGACCCGAAAAAGCACAATAGGGCTTCTTCAAATTAAAAACTTTCATGGCTCGCGATAGCGATTGGAAACCAACCCCCTTAACTCGCCAATTAATATTCAAATCAATGTAATTTTTATTGGAATGAGAGGGGGAAAGAGAACTAGAAGTCAAAAGAAAGGTGACAAACTAGAAAGACAGATTTCACCGGATATGGAAGACGCTCAAAGCTCCGTTAGCTCCGTTAGCTCACAACAGGACTCGGTAGACACCAGACATCAGTGCTCCAGGAAATACGCGATTTCAGGGCTGAGCATAAAGTGGACTTAAACAAACTTAAAGAAGAAATTAAGGGAGACATGAAATCTGAACTCGAAGATATGAAGCAGGAAATGTGCGAACTCCGCGCTAGCCCAGGCCAATGAAACTAGGCTGAAAGAAGCGGAGGAACAAACCGATGAGGCGGAGACAGTAAACATGGCTATGTCAGATGCGTTGATTAAATCAATGAAAGAACAGAGAGCCATGCAGGAGAAACTGGTGGATTTGGAAGGTCGATCCAGGAGAAATAAAATGCGCATTTATGGAGTACCCGAAGAGAAGACGGGACCCCCTTGAAAACGAGATGATGCATCTCAAGAGGTTTATCCCAATGAATAACATTTCTATATAGAAGGAAGGTAACTCCATGTCTGACTTTGTGGATCAACTTTTGAAAAATGAACTCGCTTTACCAGACACCAACCTACAGATACAACGCGCTCATAGAGCTCTGGCTCGCAAACCGGAAAAGAA